ACGTACACACAAACATATAAAACAGTTTTGGGCAATAAGCAGGATTACTTGAGTATTTTTAATGCTCCCAAAATATGTGTCTGGAGAGATTTTAGAATAGGAAAATAAATTAAACCTTAAAGGAAGTGATCAAGAAAATGTGGAGACTAGAAATCACCTTGGAAACCAGCAGGCAGTGGCACACACCTTTAATCCCAGCACCAGGGAGGCACAGACAGACAGATCTCTCCAAGCTTGAGGCCAGCCTGGTCCAGGACAGCCAGAACTACTATACAGAGAAACCCTGTCTCGAAAAAGAAAAAGAAAGAAATCACCTTGCTAGTGGCCTGCTGTGACCTGCTTGTATCTCAGCTAGACAAGGAGAGACTGCCTGTAGGGAAGAGGGGGGTCCAGGAAGACCCACAGATCCGGGGCTGTCCTGGAACAAGTGTTTCATCCCTTTTCCTCATGGGCATCTCCCTGAAGAGAGTTTAGTCTCCTGACTTCAAAACACGAGGCCCCAGGAACAATTGCAAGAGAAACTCTGAGGGACTCTGCAGTGCGGGAGGAAGGATTTGGACTACACTCTGCCTGCGGGTTTTTCAACACTGACCTCTGAGCTGTTTGCTTCTCTGTTCCTTCTGCTGGAAATGCCTTTCCCAGCCTTGCCTGGCTGGTGCCACCTGGTGACAGTCTACACACACAGGCTCCCTGGCACACACATGTCCCCCACATGTGCAGCCAGGGTGCACACGTTTTCCCTTGCAGTTTTCCCAGTGAACCCCATTTCTTAGCACCCTAGCGCCCTGGCAGATGGTGCTCCTCTGCCTGGAACTGTCCCTGTGTGGTCTCAGGCCAGGCATGGGGTCCTCTTGGGACCCAGCTCAGGGAGACAACTCCTGAATGGTGCAGATGACAATCTAAGCCCCGGAGACAGACTGCAAGTCTCATATCCCACCTACAGTCAGATAGCTCTGGCCACAGCCCCATGCCTGGGCTGCCACAGGAATTCTGTAATAGACCACTAGAGGGCAGGATGGCTGCCGGGGTCTGGGAGCCCTTGTTCACGGTGCAGTCTCACAGATAAAGTGGCCGGCCACTGGCTGATGTGCTGCTAATAACCTCAAGTGTCTGGCCTCTGCCCAACTTAGCTGTCCCTCTCCAGACAACCAAAGGGACCCTGCTTGCCTTTCTCTGCCACACTTTTCTAGACTCCACTCACCCCCCACCACCACTTTGGACTTGGCTGCTCCGTTAGCTGTCAGTTCTGAGACCCGCTTACTAGATCGGGGTCCTTGGGGAACTTATTAGACACCAGCACCCAGGCTCCACCTCGGGAGGAATTAGGATTCTGGGGTGGAGACTCCAGCATCACCATAATAAGCTCCCAGGGGGACCCACGGCTCTGGCAGGTTGGGGAGTCACTCACTTGGCCCAAGGCCTCAGTCCTACCCTCGTCAGGGATGGTTCCTGAAGGCTTCCGTGCCCTCATCTGATGCTTCCCTTGACGAAGCCACGCTTTCTCTTGGCAGTCCCTTGCTGCCCGGGAGCCATGGAGTCACGTGACAAGTGACAAGTGCATTAGCAGCTTTCCACACCTCGTCTCTAACCCTCCCAGCCACCCCACGAGATAGGAA